ACGAGTGCTTTCTTCTTGCAGCCCAAGGCCTCCGGGCTGTTAGGCAGGCCCGGTTGTGTGGAGCCCTCTGTGTCTTCTGCCGGGAGTGAGCGGGAAAGGCATGGGTTAAACAGAGGCTGGGGGCCAAGACGGCAGGGGAGATGGAGGTGAGGAGGGACCGCTGAAGGGATGGGAAAGCACCCGAGAAAGCCTCAGGAAGGTAGCTGGGACTTCACCTGCGCCACTAAGGCACAGGAGCCCCCTCTCCCTCCTGCAGCCCAGACGCACCCCAGTGTGCAGGAATCAGAGGCACACCCGGTCTGGAAATATAATGAAGATGGCATGTGATCGGTGGCTGGTATTTCCAATGAGCCTGACCTACATACATCTCAGGCCGGCAGTAGGATGTCCATTGATTAACAAATAAAGCGGCTCCTGTGCTATCTTGTACAGCGACATGCCTCCGTGTGCAATCACTGGAGTATTGACTTAGTTCTGCTTCCCCTCAGTCCATCCCTCGTCTCCCAATTCCTATCTATGGGAAGGGTTCTCGGAGGGGCTGAATTTTATAACTAAAAAGCTACACAATCAATTAAGCACAGTTTGTGAAGGATTTGGGAGACCATGTGGAAGAAGGAAGAGACTAGGAGACAGGTGACTACTGTGCGGGCTGATTTCGCCCTTTCTCTTATTTGAAAAGTGACAATCTCTTTCACCAGGTGCTGGTGCTGGGCTACTTCGCATCTCTCCCACCTCTATCTAAAGGAGGGTTAAGCCAAGCTTCAGATATTACGAAACAATCTTTCTACCCTCTCTTTTCACAGCCATTTTACAATTCGCCCCTCCCCCACCATTTTTGTTTGTGTGAGAATGAGGGCTAAGTTTGGCACCAATAAAGCGTGCTGGAACTTTTCCAAGTTCTCTTAATGTATTCATAATTCATAATGTGTTTTTCCTTACTTATTTTTCTGTTTGAGGTTGGGAGATGATCTTTTACTCATATAATGTTTTTAAAATGTAATATGCCTTCACATCCATGATCTCAATTTGTCCTTACAAAAGCGCTCAGAAACACATCACACAAGGATGATTTCTTTTCGTTTTATAGTTCTTAAAACTAAGGCAGAGACAGAGAAGCTCAGTGACCCAGAGGGAACAAGTATGATCTCGTTTGGCCCCCGCCAAATGACACCCAGAAGCTGTGTCTGCTACCACGTGACCAATGGGAAGGGGATATGTCACTAACAAATGTGATAGTAACGTTAAAAGTTCATGAAATAAGCTGTGAGAATTGTGACTTACTGATAATTTTTTTTTGACTATGGGAAAAAAATACATTTCTTCAGGAATTTTTTTTTAATCAAGAGCTTTGCTATGTAAAAATACACCACTTTAAAATGATTTGTGTTCCCTAAGATTTAGTTGTCACTCCAGGCCTTTAAGAGTATCTCATGATATAGTGATACGGAGGTGGCAAATATGTGTGACGGTGGTCAAAAGATGCACGCGTCTAGAGATCCATGTACAAGTCTTTATTGATTTTACAGCTTTATTTTTTCTAATAAAAGCATTACAAATTGTAACTCCTACTAAGCAATGATTTAATAGAACCTTATTGAACATTATCACTTGAATTTTATGTTGAATTGTCATTTTCATCTAATTCCAATTATTTGTAATTTACTTCAGAATTTTTCTTCTCATGAATTATAAAGTGTGTTGTTTACATTTCAAATATTTGAAGATTATTGGGGTTTTTTCCTGCTATTGATTTGTAAATTAATTTTGCTCTGATAGAGAGCATACTATGATATAAATCATATTAAATTTATTGAGACACATTTTATTTCTAAGTTCTATCTCTGTTAATGTTCCCTGAGTTGCTGTTGAGTGGTTTGGGATGTGCTATATATGTGATATTGGCGATACATATGTACATATATATATGTCATATATATGGTAGATGTGATAAATGGATATTTATGAGATTGATAAATGGATGTGAAGAAAATGTGATACATTAAGTTCTATATATTTTTCTTCAGATACTTTGAAGCTCAACTGTTCAACTTCATACACATTTAGGGTTTTCATAGCCTGTTGACAGGTTGACTCCTCTATCATTATGAAATGATGCTCTTTATCCTTGTAATATTTATATCTTATATATAATATTTCTATCTTATATATAATGTATAATTATATAATATAATATGTAGTGTTGCCACCATACGTTTCTTATGATTAAGGTTTTTATATGTTTTTTCAGTCTTTCACTTTTAGTATTTTTTTAATTTAAAACTGGGTTACTTATAGGTATCATACAGTTGGATCTTCTAATTTTTTTGTCTCTGACTATTGGAATAATTGTACCATTTATAATTAATTTAATTGTCAATAATATGGGCTTATACCTACCTTCCTGCTAGTTCTTTTCTGTTCTTCCATATTCTTTTTTTCTTATTTTCCTGCTTATTTTTTCTCCTTCTGTAATTTGTAGGTGGTTCTGAAGTATTGCAAAGTCCAGGGCTACTTATTCGCTATTTCTGTTACCAAGTCCAAACTCGTTCTGCTCGCCGCACGACAGGCCAGTAAATCAGGAGACAAGATGCTGGGGCAAGGAACAGCGACTTTATTCAGAAAGCCGGCAGACCGAGAGGATGGCAGACTAATGTCTTGGAGAACCGTCCTACTCCAGTCAGAATACAGGCTCCCATCACCATGAGAGACCCAAAGCCCTGTGGGTCATCTGGTTGACTCCTCACATGGAGTGGCAGAAGAATCTGGATCCTCATGAGTCCCACTCCAGGGCCAGGCAGGAAGGGAGTAGCTCAGGCCTGCAGAGGAGGACTTGAAAACATTTTTGGGAAGCTCATCAGATGACCCAGCACCACACATCCTACTCCTGGTTGCCTGGGACAATCTGACCAGTGGAGGGTCTTCCATATGCCAGTTAACCCTCCTGAACTGTCCCCAGGTGCTACCTGAACAGTGGCAGTGGCTTCCATCCCCTAAATGTAAGTAAATGTGTGGAGAATGCTTTCCCCAGCCACACTGGGCACAGCAGAATGATCCTGCCATCACTGCTAGTCCCCTGAAATCCTACCTCAGACACCACATCCAGATTCCATTCTATTAAGGGATGCTCAGACCTCTGGAAAAGCCACATCAAGGCAGCAGCCAGCAAACTCTTGACAGCTAGGGGTCCAAAATAAACCCAGAAAACAACGGGTATTAGCGAAGATGTAGAGAAATTGGAACCTGCATGCACTGCTGGTAAAAAGGCGAAATTGTGCAGCCACTGTAGAAAACAGTCTGGCAGTTTCTCAAAAAAATTTAAAAAATAGAACCATATCATCCAGCAATTCCCCTTCTGTGTATATAGCCAAAAGAATTAAGTGCAGGGTTTCCCATATTCGTAGGGGCATTGTTTACAATAGCAAAAGGTGGAAACAACTCCCCCCTCCGACAGATGAATGAACAAAACATGGTACATCCATACAATGGAGTATCATTCCCTTAAAATGTAATGAAATTCTGACACATGCTAAAGCTTGGTTAAAGCTTGAAGACATTATCTGGTACAGCAGGAAGAATAAGGCACATGTAAACATCAGAGAGATTTGAGGCTTCTAGTTATAAGTCCTGTGGTCCTCTCTGTCTCACAGAACACACTTTATGTCCAGATCATGAATCACCAAGATTGTGTGAAACATCTTGGTGGCAGCAGAGCCACAGTCTCATGTGAGGAAGAGTTTTTAATATCCTTCAGATCACACAGCCAAAACCCAGTTGCATGGCCAATCTCAATACTAGAAGCCAAAGAACATAACTGAAACCAGGTGCAAACCTTCAGTCTTGCACATTTTCTAAAACTAATGCTGATCAACAGCTAAGGTTGCCTCCTCATTTACTGCAGCCCCTACACAGAGCTATAGCAATCATTACTTAGCTACATTTCATTCAGGTGTAGCCAAGAGTAAGCACTGTGACACTGGTGTCCCAAACATAAGCATAGGGTTGAAATAGAGCACCTGAAAATAGACCTGCATTTACACAGTCCACGCCGCTGACTTTTAGTCAAGCATTTTGAATTACAAACCATTAATCATTATTCTTCCTTCTGCATCATTCAATGCTTATAGACTAAAAGAAACAGAAAGATATACACTGAGCGGGGAGGGTATAGCTCAAGTGGTAGAGCACATGCTTAACATGCAGAACGTCCCGGGTTCAATCCCCATTTCTCGGTTTAAAAAAAAAGTCGTTAAATAAATAAGCCTAATCACCTCTGTCCTCCAAAAAATAGAAAATAAAATAAAATAAATGTTAATAAATAATAAAGATTTTTTTAAAAAAGAAAGATATACACCAAAATGCTGATTATTTGTCTTTTCCAATAAGGGATAGATATTGCTTTAAAGAAATCTTTCCATTTACCAAATATTCCAACACAGACTTATTCATAACTATGTACAAGCTTGAGAACTCTTTTGCCTCCTTCCACCATGTGAACTTTAAGAAACAGTTAATTGATGACTAACAAAATCTGTTCTTTCTCTTTCTCAATCAGCTTTCATCAGAAGAACAGCTTGTAGGGGTTTTAATTCATTTTCCCAATAAATTTCATCATTGATACCAATATAACAGTAAAATCAAATTTGTGTCACTAATTACCCCAGTATCACGCCAAATGCAATTACAGGATGAGTAGTCTAAGATCCTTACAAAGCGGATCAGTTGAATTATAGTAGCATCTTCTCAGCCTTCTTAACAAAGTCAATCTTTGTGCATATGCTGTCACGGATTGGGGAACAGATCACAAGCCAGGTCTCCGTTAATCTGGGATTCCAAGGCTCCTGTGGGCAGAGCTATTGCTCTGTTTCACGTTACAGTGTTGTACTGACAGATTCCCAACAGGTTTATCTTTATATAATGTCTATATTTTCCCCACTGGTAAAATCCTGGTTATGTTTAGTGGATTTATAATTCCAA